GGCTCGATCCCCACTAGGGGGCGTGCAGGAGGCAGCCAATAGATGCTTCTCCCTCACATGGATGTCTCTCTCTCTCTCTCCCTTTCTCTCTCTCTAAAAACAAAAATAGTAATTAAGTGTAGGGAAACAGGTATAGTCTATAATTCTAATTATTTTTGATAGGCTTCTGTTATCTGCCCTCTACTGTATCCAAGGCCAAAACGTTCTTTCTATTGACACTGTCCATCTAAGACGTATATGTGGGGCTTTTATTAATTTCAGGCACCTTCCACATACTAGACTCTAAGTGAATAGACTGGATATTTATACTGGGCTGAAAAGGGCCTAGCATTGAATTCCTTTTCTTTTGAGGAATCTTCCTTCTTTTTCGTCACTTAGTGTTCCCAAGGATCTCTCTTCTCATTTTTCCTCTCTGCTCCTCTCCCCTCTCCTGTTCTGCCCTCCTTTCAAAGAGACTCACTGAGATACAGTTTCCACATTCATACTTGACAATTCATGTTGCAGCAAAACATCTCTAATTTTATATCTGTTTAATTAATGGCTTTATGGAACATTTTCATTTTGGATACCCACACTCTTCTCAAATACAATGATTCCCTTAAAACTAAACCTAATATATTTTCTTATAAAAGATGGCCACTTAGCCATCCAGGGAGGCGCTCTAGAAATTACACCCATTTCTGGCTCTCCCTCAACCCCCACATTGATTTGGTCACAATGTCATCTTGATTCTACATCATTTTGGTCAAATCTATTACCTCTTTGCTGCCTTTCAAAAAGATACTAGGTAAATATCAATAATGGAATAAGTGTGAGTTTTCACAAGAACATAATATATTAGAAATAAGTAGACATAAGCAAAAAAAAAAGAGAAGAAGAACAAAATGTACAAGGACAAAGAAAAAACAGGTCAGCTCAAAGGCAGCTGGAATCTACAAGATAGAATTAGAGATAAACAGATCATCCTGTCTTCTTTTGACCACAGAAACATTATATGACAGGCATAAGCACCTGGTAGAAAACTGGTTAGATGAAGTATTATCACCTTGAAAGGGCAACAACATACCAAGAAAGGTTTCTTAGGACACCAAACCCCCATAGTGATGGGATAATCAAAGGAACCAGAAAGAGAAGCATCGATGTGAGGGAGACACATTGATTGGTTGCCTCTCGCATGACTCCAACCAATGTCAGGGATGGAACCTGCAACCCAACTCAAAACCATCCAGTGTTCTCCATTATCCACAGGGAAGCTGCAGTTTCTTAGGCAGACATTGAAGGCCCTGTATAACGTAGCATCCGTCTGTGTTGGCAGCCCTGCCCTCCACTACTTCAGCACAAACCACCTGCTTCTGTAAACAGTCCAGCCTTTTTTCCTGGAACAAACTTTGGCATTTTCCTATTAAAAAGCCATACTTAATACATATCCTCTTCCAAACTATTAATAATAACAATAACAATAGTAGCACTAATACCTAACCTTCAGTTAAAAAAAAAAAAAAAAAAAAAAGGAACCAAACATTCCAGCCTCACATAACCCTAGGACTATCTGGACTGTAAGATCACATCACACATCAGTTAATAAACTGTGCAGGGACTTGACAGTGGAATGAGAGGGGTCAGAATGAGAGGTTCTTGATTTTGGATAAATATATCCATCTAAAGAGTATGCTTCAGAACCTTTAGGATTCTGTTCATGCCTCACCTTTCTCCTGGAGACATTGCTTCTGTCAGTGCAAATAAAGCAATAGAAACATCTTCAACTGCCTAGACATGGTCACATTTCTGCAACAACTGATAACTCCTCTGGGTTTTTTTTGTTTTGTTTTTTTAATCCTCACCGGAGGATATTTTTTTGGTTTTTGTTCAGATAGAGTGGGAGGGAGAGAGAGGAAGAGAGAGTGAGAGAAACATTGACGTGAAAGGGACACATCGAGTGGTTGCCACCTGCATGACCTGACCCAACCAGGGCCGGGGGACAAACTGCAACCGAGATACATGCCCTTAGCAGGAACCGAACCCGGGTCTCTCTGGACCGCAGGCCGACGCTCTAACCGCTGAGCCAAACCAGCCAGGGCAGAACTCTTTATGTAGTGTTTACAATGCACAGAACTATGACTGACAGCTCGTCGGAAAATGTGTGGGTGTCAATAGCCAATTTTGAGCAATGTGTGGAGCTGGGATGACAGTGTGGTTAGTCTGACTGTACAAGGCTGAGCTGGTTTGCTCACACCAAAGGCAGAGAGGCATGGTTTCATTTGTGAAGCGGTGATGGAGTCTTTCTAGAAAATTTCAACCATAATGCCTTTGTTCAAGATTAATTACCTGGGGGGAGGGGTGGTACTGATTTGGGGGAATGGCTCTCAGCCTTGACTCCTTTATTTGACCCAATGCAATGCTGCCTGGGTCATCATTCCAAAACACAAATGTGACCACATACTTTCCCATGCATAAAGTTCTTTTATAATTTTCCACTTCTTAAAGATAAACTTCAAAATTTCGGCCCAATGTCCCACCTTATTTCTCTCTATTACTCATGCACAACTATGTTCTAACTGTAGCGGCCTACTTGAAGTTCCTGGCTGAGCCATGATCTTTCCCTTTGTGTATGTTATTCCCTTTTCCTGGAATGTTGATCCTGCCCCTCCTCTTCTATGTCACCTGACAGCACTGAATCCCCTTTGACATCTCCACTGACCCTACAGTTTGGATCATGTATACTAATCACAACTCTTATCACTATGTGCTGTAATTGTTATTGCTTTTTTATTTCCCCTGGTAAGCTCTGTACTTCTGCATGGTAAAGTCTGTCTTTAGTTCTATATGTCCAACTTATATAAGTGCCTACCATAAAATAAAGGTACTCAAGGAATAAAGGGACAGATGGACAACTGGATGGGCAAAAGGAGGGATGGCTGAGTGGCTAGCTACTTAGAAATATAATGAGGTAAACAGAAAGTGTATTGAAATACATTTTCCACTGTCGACCTCCCCATTCAACTGTACTCTATAGGATGCTGCCATAATAGTCTTCTTAAAATATAGATATGATCATATCAAACTTAAAAATATATGTAAAAACATTCATTGGCCATTCATCTTATAAATTATAATATCACTTTTTAATCTTTCCTAATCTGACTTATTTATCCTTACTTAGCTATTCCTAACCAAATACTTCATGGTCCAGCCCTACAACAGTCTGTGGTGTTCTCAAAACATATTAATTTATTCATTTATTCACTTCCATCATGACTCTCTTTTCTAATATTTGCACCAGTGCTATTGTAGCATTTTAATGTATCATTTAGTATAGCTAAAGCCTTGCTCCATAAATTTGATAAAAATCTTAACCTCCATTTTTATTTTTCCAAAATTTTAAAGTGGTTAGCTGAGAAAAAAATTAGATTATTCAAGGGAAAGTTCCTATAGAGGAATAAAGTTCTTAAGAAATATAAAGGGATAGGGAGTTGGGGCCCAGATACTTTTTTAAAAGCCTCATTCTCTTAATCTAGGAGGTGATACTCTCACCTATTAAGCTCCCTTAAAAACTGTGGACTTGCCCTGGCCGGTTCGCTCAGCGGTCAGAGCTTCAGCCTGCGGACCGGAGAGTCCTGGGTTCGGTTCCCGCCAGGGGCGCGTACCTCGGTTGCGGTTTGTCCCCGGCCTCGGTTGGGGTTGTGCGGGTAGCAACCAGTCGGTGTGTTTCTCTCACATTGATGTTTCTCTCCTTCTGAAAAAAACAAACAAACAAACAAAAAACTGTGTGGGCTTTTCTGAATCTGATCCACATTCTCTCTGCAGTGAAGCCACACCCTTGACTGTTTGAAGCCTGTTTTTCACTTGATATTGAATGTTCTTGTGGGTCTACCAGGTTGCACCTGAATTATTTGACATAGTTTCACCAAGTGTTCTATAGCCACATCCAAGATATATTTATGTTGAGGTCACATCTTTCCGACCAAGCTCTGGACTTGATCTCTCTCTCATTTGAGAGGCTGGAGTCCAGAAAGCGGTTTATTTTCTACCACACCTTCTAGTCCCTCTCTATTCCTTTTCTTTGCTTTCGGACTCATCAGTTCTTCGTTTAGCACGTCTCTTTCTTATAGCACCTTATCACATGAAACTACTAAGAGCCAGCTGACCCTTTCACTTTCTGCCTGGAAGTCTCATTCCTTGTATAAAAAGTTCATCAGGCACATTTTCCATCGCTGACATTTCCTCAGGTGACAGCTTTGCCCGCTGCTTCTGCCTGCATGGTGCAGAGTCCTTTTTCCAGCGTCCTGTGCTGTTCTCTCCGTGCCTTTCCAGGCTTGATTTGCTACCCAGGACCAAAGCCAAGGGCACACATTTTAGGTCTTTGTTATGGCACAACTTATTTCCAGGTAGCAGGTTCTCTCTTATCCTCACACGTTTATCTTACCTCTGTCAAGTAAGCTAACCTGCATTGGTTCTCATGCCGGGGCAGGGTTCCAAGAGACTCAGTGGAGAATCTCAAGAGCATTTTCAGACTCTGCTGCCTGCAAGGTCGCTAGCACCCTGCTGGCCAAAGCGAGTCATGTGAACAAGCCCAGATTCCAGGGATCCGGACATAAACCCACCCATTTAATGAGAGAAATTGGAAAGTTACAGAGCAAAGTATGTGGATATTGAAAGGTTATTTATTGGGGTAATTAATAAACCTGTCCACCATAGATGTTTCAGTTAATCTGTAACAAATTAGATCGTATTTCATTTACATGTAATGAAGGAACACCAAACCGAATTAACAGATTTAGTGTGCCATTCGGTATGAATTGTTTGAATTATAAAATTTAATTCTTCCCATGTTACATACCATCCCCCTTAAAAGCACACGGTTTCAAAGGGGACTGGCAAAACTTATTGGCAAATCTACATTGTCTGGTGACTTCACCAAAGGAAGATGAGTGGGGTATGTGAATTAGTACATTTCAGTGCTAAGACCCCAAAAAGTCAAAATCTGTTTCTTTCTTCCTCAGGTGATATTTGTGATCCCAATCCATGTGAAAATGGAGGTATCTGTTTGTCAAGCTTGTCTCAAGATTCTTTCTCCTGTGAGTGTCCAGACGGCTTCACAGATGCCAACTGCTCTAGTGTTGTGGAGGTTGGTAAGTGCAAGATTTAAGCATTTCAGTCGTTATCCTCTTTGTTTTCATGAGTGACTGGCAGATTTCACTGGGATGCATTGTGAGTATTTCGTATAAGATTGCTTTATGTTGCTAATTCGTTTACTCCTCTGTTGGATTTCAATTTTATCATTTCCATTTTATACTTACATTATATTTTTATTTGTGGTGTTCTCAATAAATAATTTAAAAATGTTTTAGTGATTAACACTATACTTTGAAGGCATTACAAGTACTACTGGAATATAATACATTTCTTATCTCTCTAATGTTAATATACGTTTATCCAAATTTTTATTCAGAGTGGAACATAATGCCTGAGTCAATTTATTCAAATTAAATAGTCACTCTAAATAAAATAGAACTTACTTTAGAAACTGATAAAATTCATCATATTTTATAGCCATTCTAAATTTTACTTTTCTAAGACTATAAATATGTAAAAGAAGACAATATTCCAGCTAAGTTGTTTCTCAAAGTCTTCTCAAACAACTTTGCTTTTCAGATACTAACTAGTCATTGATCACACTTCAAAATGTTCTTTGTTGTTGTTGTTTTTTCATCTGTGAAATACTTCATTGGCATGTATAATTATGGATTCAGGGTAACTCCATAATTTTCAAACAGTTCCTCACTAATGAAATACTTTAAATAATTTAACACTATGTAAACTTAATATAGAGATTTTTCCCTCTGATTAAAGATAATGCCATGAAAAGAACAGATTTCTATATTTTTTCAAATCTGTACTGAGAAGAATAAACAGTGGACTATGTCTGCTCTATCTAGGAAAACCAAACATGTTTTTTATTAAAGTTCTGTCAACTAGCATAAACCTTGGGAATTGTGGAGGTTTCTATGATTTAAAAAAAAATTTTGAAGAAGAAAAGTAACAATGTCTATAGAAAGCACCTTTATGCATAGCAAGAGCCCAATCACTATGCTTCAGTGAAGGAGAGAATAACTAAATAAAACCATTAGCCACTGTTTTGGGCCACTAGTTAATAGATTTTAATGTGCTTTTTTTTTAAAAAAAAAAAATGCTTTTTCTTGTATCTTTATATTACATTAGTATGAATGTGTTATATCTAAAAATATTAAATTATATATGATTGTTGATAAGTACCTTGTTCATTAACTCATTTCCAAGATCATTCTCTTTCATGGCTTTTATTAACTTTATCCTATTTAAGAGGGTTTGATACAGTGCCATAGAAATTAAATTGTTGTAACCACTTTGACCCAGTCTGCAAATATGTACAATGAGTTTCAGAGTTTAATCTGAGAATCATATCCTTTGGAAAGTCTATAGCTCTGAAGAAAATTATAGACATAAATATTTCTAACAGGAATATATAAGTAGAATAAAAAGTTAGTGTTATCATTTAAGCCCATTAACCCCAGATATGGCAGTGCCTTAGATTTTTAGTATCTAACATTTTTGCTGCTACTTTGTAAAAGTCAAATCTATAGTTGAAGAGGCAAATGTATTTAATTAATTTAAAACCCAGTATCTTCACATAATTTTAAAGAAATTCTTGAATACTTTTAGCCATATTTTAAAATAGTAATTCCACATTCATCATTTCATCATCAGAAGAAAAATATTAGCAGTAACATTTTGAAAGCTAAACACAATAATGCCCTGGCCAGTTTGGCTTATCGGTTGAGCGTTGGCCTGTGGACCAGAGAGTCCCGGGTTTGGTTCCCGCTAGGGGCACGTATCACAAAAAAACAAACAAAAAAAAAAAACTAAACACAATAAAATATTCCATGTAGTTAAGTGAAACTTTGGGGAATCAAATGCTTACAGAATTAAGTTTTGTTCAGATTTATCACTATAAATACCTCTGATATTCAGAGACAGGGTAGTTATACTATGTTATCTTAAGCTGTACATTTTTGTGATGTGTTTCAAGCAACCTCATTCTTCCATGAGGTATATTTAGGTTCTTGGAAGAAATACGTCCAGCTTTTATTTGCTTTACCATAGTATATTTGTTATGCCAATTCTGATTTAATATATTGGTTTTATAAGATTAAAATAATAAAATGTATACAATTTTCAGGTTAGATAACTTTATCTGCCTTTTGACCACCTCTTTCTCAGCTCCATATTTTCTTACATAGAACAAGGGAATACTGAATATTTATTGAATAAAAACAGCAACAATGCCTTTAAATATCTAAGCAACCTTATATTTTTTCATTGTTCAAAAATTAATTATTGGAGCAAAATTAGTGAGACTTTAGGTTATTGAAGATCGTCTTTCCATTTCAGTTTTTTTAAATCTGCTCCTTTGCTGGGGCTGTTTTTGTCGTTGTTTCCCTGCTGTTAGGTGGCACCAGTGGGAAGCACAGTGTGCTAATATTTTATTTGTTAAAATGCCCCATAGCTATATGGATTTTAATGTCAGGTCTTAAAAGACAAAAGTTTGAGCTGTCACTATGGCTGTATTTTTACTTCCACACCAATCCCCCAAAGATGGAGGTGTATCTAAGGTTTCTTCTAACCTTTCGAACCATAGTAGTTTTGTTATTAAATGAAGTTCTAAATTTCCTTATTTTTAATTTCCAAAAGAAAGAAAATCATCTTGTCTATATTTGCTTAGGAATGTTGTGTTTTGATCCACATTAAAAAAAATTAGTTTTACTCTGTTTATTCTGTAATCAATACTCAACTCTATTGTTGTACATCTGGAAAGGAGAATTTCAAACACTTTATGCTATTCTTAGAGGTAAAAATTGTTTTTTGATTTTACCTCAAACCTCATTGCTCTGTAGCGGCCTTGTTTTAAGTTCTTGATGCTACTTCAGAAGAGATTCTCATCCAATTTTGTACTTTAATTCTCCCCTCTCAAAGCGTCTAGTGTCAGATAAGTAGAAAACACTTTGCCACATGTGCAATCAATCTTCACATCACATACGGTCCTGTGTTATGCATGGGGCTTGGAAATATTGACTCCTACACGCCTTCTTCTAGGGATCAAGCCAGCAACTCAAGCATGGGCCCTGACCAGGAATTGAACCAGTGACCTCGGGGTGCATGGATCGGCACTCAACCACTGAGCCACTCTGGCCAGGCACAATATCCATCTTTTATCTCTCTGTGTCTCTCTCTATCTCTCCCTGTCTCTTTTTCCACCATACACATCTCCCTTATGCAGACTTGTGTCCAAATCTCAATGTTCTTAGCCTCTTAGTATCATTAAGACTCATTTCTGATATCCACAAAAGGTAACAGTAAAACATCTCAGAGCAAAGGAAAGAAAAATAAAACCTAGTCCACATTTTCAGATTTGAAGACATAGGCCAGATTAACCAGTGTTTGCACAGATGTGTATGTGATGCTAACTCATTCTCTAGGGGATGTGTACACAGAAAACCATGTGGTTAAGCCTCAAATTACTCCCCAATTATCTCCTCACATTCTTGGATAATACTGGGTAATTTGGAGCCAAATGTTGACACATTTATTTTATATAGACATTTCTACTATTAGTGAATATTCTAGAATACATATAAATTTTTTAGAATTATTAAATTGTTTCATAGCATAATTATTTGTATGCTGTCTGAGTAATTCAGTAAACTAACGGTGAATATTAACTTTTAACAACACATATACAAAGTATATTGATGCAATCAAAAAGAACAAAATGTGATTGACTATTTAAAAACAAAAATCTTAGTTTTTATTTATGTTTAAATATATATATATTGAGTACTTACTAATAGTTACCTAAATGGTAGCATACAATGTAAGCAAATTTAAAGAAATTGCTATCTAGCTAAAAAAAAAAAAAAAAAAAAAAAACAGAAATAAATAACAGATAATATGACAAGTATTGTGATAGGGGAAGTATATGGAGCCATAAGAATATAAAGCAGTTGTCATATCTTAAGTTAGGTGTCAGAAAATGCATGCTACCTGAAAAAAGTATATATCTTCATATAATTCATAAAGATAATTTTAGTCTAGCAGAGAGAATGCTAAAATTATTCAGGACAGAGGACATTATTGTTAAAAAAGCTAGGAGATAAGAAAAGTCATGATTCCGTGAGCTAGAAGAAATTCAGAGTGGCTAGAGCTTAAAAGGGAGAGACATGGTGTCCAGCAATGAGTCTGCAGATGGTAATGATGACTGATTCTGCAATCTTAAATTATTTTTAAGGAATTTGGACTTATGCTGAGAGCAATGCGGAGGATTTGTACTTTTAGAAGATCACTTTATTTTTCATATGGAAAGAAAGAGAACAGATTAAGGCAGGGAGACAATTAGAAGACTACTGTAGAAGACCAGGTCAGACACAATGACCTTGGCCTGGATCAGTGTAGTAACAAAGGGAATGGAGAGGACAGAGTCAACAAATATCTAAAGGATATAGTAGATAATTATTGGAAGCTTATGGGGTAATTGAGTAGAAGGAGTTTGGAGAAAGTAAAAAGTGAAGAAGAAACATCAGCAGTTTCTGACCTGAGCAACTGGGTGCCACTTACTCAGAGAATGCAAATTGAGGATACACTGGATTGGAAGGCAGAACATGAGTTGATTATTTCACATATGGAATTCAAAAAATTAGCTAGATATTAGTTGAGAAGCTAGATAGATATTTTTAAGTCATAGTTATATAGATATTTATCGATGCTCAGGGAATGTATGGATCTTTCCAGAAGCACAAAAGCTTCTGAAAAGATAAGAGGACCTAGAAATGGAAACTGATAAGAGGCTCATAAATAATTAAAGAGTAAGTAGAGAAAGTCAAATCTATAAGAAAGAGTGGTCAGGGAGAAAGAAGAGAAGCCAGAAAACTGTGGCACCCTAAAAGTTAATGGTAAACAGACTTTCAAGAAATAAGTGGTAAGCAGTGTTAAATACTGTGAAGTTAATAGAAATTACATTTACATTAATTACATGTGACTTGATAATATTGCAAAGGCCAGTTTTGTTGGAGATTTGGAGAAAAAGCTAGATTGTCGT